ACAAAATTACCCTTAAGTGTACATAAATACTACCACATCAGCAAATCTACCTTAACTCAAAGAAGAGAAAAAAAAAAAAAAAAAAAAAAAACGGCATCATGGCGAAGTCAAAGAACCACACGAATCATAACCAAGTAAGTTTGGGGCTAACATAAAAAATATATAGCCGCTTAAAAAAAGGGCATCTGCGCGGCGTAGCTCTTGTATGAATTTGCGCCCCTGTTATGTTCATTCGTCTCTCCTGTTATTGCTCCCCATTCGTGTGGACTATTCAGCAGTTGTCCTTGCAGTACGCTGTTTTGTTCCTTCGCTATGTAGCATGTTGTGTAGTTTTGCTTTCTCCCGTGTGGAGTTTGACGTACTTTCATGTGATAATTTTGTGTACATATCGCTACTTGACCAAACTGTGCATCACCTCATGTGACTCCCCCCCCCTTTTTTTTCCTTCCCCGCCACAGAATAGGAAAGCACACAAAAATGGAATTAAGAAACCCAAGAAGCACAAGTTTATGTCTCGCAAGGGGGTACGCACAAATACGTATTTGATTGCAACGTACATATGTGCTTTGTGTGTTTGCACACCAGCATAAGGAAGTTTTGTGTTGATATTATATCATCCGTCGTGATTACGTGCCTTTTGTCGAGCACGGCTTAGCTGCCACAGCAGAGGATCCGCTGCTCCATGTGCAACACTTGTTCCACGAGTGCTTCTCCCATTTGTGCACAAATAATTTTTTTTTTTTTTTTCCCCCTTCTCAGTTGGACCCCAAATTTTTTAAAAACCAAAAATACTGCTTAAAGGGAATCATAAAAAAGAAGAAGGAATTGAAATTGAAACAGAAACAGGAGAAGAAGAACTAAGCTAGGGAACTTTGGATAATAAAATTTAAGATTTCTGCCCGACATATTATTGGCCTGTTACATTTTTTACCTTTTCAAAATTGTGTACCGTTGTGTACATGTTTTTTTTTTTTTTTTTTTTTTTTTTTCGCACCTCGCCTTTTCGAACAGCTACATGAAATGGTTTATATGTATATGCATAGACTTGCGCCCCGTGTGCATATGTGTTTTAAGCATGTTGCATCGGCGTGCATGAAAATTGATTGCAGTGTATAAAACGCGAGTAGACCCGAAGGAGAACTATGAAATGCTAATT